CCTGCTTATCTTTTCCGCTTTTTATTTCGATTATTTTTTGGTCCCGGCGGCCCCATGCACCCCACGCTCTCGTGAGGGGAACTCTCTCTACTCCGGTACTTTTGCATGGATGAAATTAAATTTTCTCACTCTCCGTGGATATACCTCCGGGTTGCGAAGGGGGGGGGGGTCCCCTGGCCCTGGCAGCGACTGACTGGACAGTGACCAGCTGGACTAGGCAGGCTGGGGGAGAGTCGAAGGGGAGGGGGGGGAAGGGACGGGAAATGGGGAGCGGCCTGGCGCGGTATGGTGTGGGTACCGTACAGTGTGTGTCAAGTGGCTGTGGATGTGTGATCACCGTGTGCTGCTTGCGTGACAGAGGCACCAGGAGGGATATGACACTGTGAGTCCACCATATGCATACTCCACCTGCTTGGTCATTGTCCAATGCGGAGAGATGACATGACGCACGGCTCCTGACACGGTGCTTGACTCAGGAGAGCGCTGGCGACGGCCCCCTTCCCCCTCCCCAAGAAGACAAGAAGAGGCGGCATGCCACCTGTAACACCTGCTGAAGCCGCAAAAGAACTGAGGCTACAGGTGAGCGGTCTGCCCGTCAGTTGCACGGAGAGAGTTCGAGGCCGTAGCCCGTTGCAGCGAACACCGGCATTCAACCCCGGCCCCCTTCCCTTCCCCCACACGCCTATTGTTTGCCTCGGCTTCAACAGCGAAAAGAACAACGCGCAGCTCGAAAAAACATCAAGATTGTCGAAAATGGGCGCACAACGTGTCCCGGTCATCGATTGCCTTGTTGAGACGTTGTTTTCGCAGCATGCATCTCCAATGTCACACACACTCCCTTGTCTCTCCCAAAAAGACGAACGACTGCCTCCCGAGAAACCCAGATGTCTTAGTACGATACGCCTAGCTATCTGTCATTCAACAACTTTGGGACGTACATGTACTGCTTGGCAAGCTTCGGGGTTAGCAGGTAGGCTCAGAGCAGCCTGAGAAGGTCAAGAGCCAGAAGCTCGAGGTGGAATGTGGCTCGAAACCTTGTCTGCCTTGGTGGTTGTCTCGCCAGGTCTCCTTGACTTACATGGCGCCAGCCGCATCTCGCTCGCTCTCGCCGCTATGGGGCCCTTTTCCCCGTCCCGCCACTTATTAGGCTTCATGTCATGGATCAAGGGGGAATTCAGGCCTTCTCTGGCTGCTTTCCGCT